ATAAATCATAAATTATTCATAATATTAATTTATCTTAAGGTTATTTAAAGTGAAACCACAATATTTATGTTTTATAACAAGTGTATTCAAAGTTGAACCATAACATTTATGTTTTGTAACAGGTATATTGCATGTATTTAAATCTGCCAAATCATAACATAAAATATTTGACTGACTAATTGTAGTTATACTATCTCATCAGTTAAGTCTATTAGAATGCTTTTCGAATTCTGCAGCTTCCAAATCCATTATTTACTTGTGAATATTATTTTTAAAAAATTAAAATTTGAATATAATTGAAATATAACCTATTTTTAAAAATTAAATATTATCAACTTACTTTTTAAAAGATCAGTTGCTAGTAACCTTGTTGTATATATTTTCACTTCTTCCAGTTTTGTCATTTTGAATACATTCATTGTTAGTATCTTCATAAAGAGCTTTCGATTGGCATCTGCATTTATTCATCCAAACAATATATTGAGAAGTCTGAGCTGATAATGAACTACCTCCTAATACTGGCCAGTTCGCATTCATAAATAATGCAGAATGAGATTTAGCAGTTTCTGGTTACTAAACCATACATCACTGCTATTTGTGTTACTTGTCCAAAACCAGTCCAGCTCTCACATGATATGAATAGAATGTCATTTTTGGTACATTAAATAAAGTTCGATAAAATGTGAATCAATAACAATATATCCTGAGTGGTGGTACTTGCATATCGGCTGATTTGATTTTTGGGTCTTTTTTCGATAAGCTGTTACACAAAAGTTTGCTCCCAAGTGACGTTGAAGAAGAAACAAATGTAGCACTTGTTACAACTAACAAAAGCGCTTTTTAACGTCTGGAAAGATAAAAAATCAATAAAAATCAATAAAAACGCTCTGCTAAGCTGTAGAAAGAAGTACTTTTACTGTTTGTTGAAATACTCGATGGGTTTTGATGGGTCAAGGGTAAATTCGGAAGCTAATTTTCAAAAAAATGGCCTTTTTAACTTAATTTTAACTTATAATTAAATACATGAATTTTGTAATTAAATTCGGTTTGTAGTGTAAAATTTTTTTGATAGTCCTCGATTATAATTGGTCGATTTTGGGTCAAAACAAATCAGCCGATATGGGGAAATCGATGACAGATACTCTAATTGGTGAATTAAGTTAAAGTGTCGACTTTGTCGATCAATAATGGTGAAGTTTGTAATAAAAAGTATTATAAAACATAAATATTGTGGTTTCACTTTAAATAACCTTAAGATAAATTAATATTATGAATAATTTATGATTTAT